ATATATATATATATATATATATGTATATATATGTATATGCACATATGTATGTATGTATATGTATTCGGCCCCCTTGAACTTTTCTACCTTTTGCCACATTTCAGGCTTAAAACATAAAGATATAAAATTTTATTTTTTTGTGAAGAATCAACAACAAGTGGGACACAATCATGAAGTGGAATGAAATTTATTGGATGTGTCAAACTTTTTTAACAAATAAAAAACTGAAAAGTGGGGTGTGCAATATTATTCGGCCCCCTTGCGTTAATACTTTGTAGCGCTGCCTTTTGCTGCAATTCCAGCTGCAAGTCTCTTGGGGTATGTCTCTATCAGTTTTGCACATCGAGAGACTGAAGTTCTTGCCCATTCTTCCTTGCAAAACAGCTCGAGCTCAGTGAGGTTGGATGGAGAGCATTTGTGAACAGCAGTCTTCAGCTCTTTCCACAGATTCTCTATTGGGATTCAGGTCTGGACTTTGACTTGGCCATTCCAACACCTGGATACGTTTATTTGTGAACCATTCCATTGTTGATTTGGCTTTATGTTTTGGATCATTGTCTTGTTGGAAGATAAATTTCCGTCCCAGTCTCAGGTCTCTTGCAGACTCAAACAAGTTTTCTTCCAGAATGGTCCTGTATTTGGCCCCATCCATCTTCCCATCAATTCTGACCATCTTCCCTGTCCCTGCTGACAAAAAGCAGGCCCAAACCATGATGCTGCCACCACCATGTTTGACAGTGGGGATGGTGTACTCAGGGTGATGAGCTGTGTTGCTTTTACGCCAAACATATCGTTTTGCATTGTGGCCAAACAGTTGGATTTTGGTTTCATGTGACCAGAGCACCTTCTTCCACATGTTTGATGTCTCCCAGGTGCTTGTGGGTAACTTTAAACAACACTTTTTATGGACATCTTTGAGAAATGGCTTTCTTCTTGCCACTCTTCCATAAAGGCCAGATTTGTGCAGTGTACAACTGATTGTTGTCCTATGGACAGACTCTCCCACCTCAGCTGTAGATCTCTGCAGTTCATCCAGAGTGATCATGGGCCTCTTGGTTGCATCTCTGATCAGTCTTCTCCTTGTTCGAGATGAAAGTTTAGAGGGACGGCCAGGTCTTGGTAGATTTGCAATGGTATGATACTCCTTTCATTTCAATATGATTGCTTGCACAGTGCTCCTTGGGATGTTTAAAGCTTGGGAAATCTTTTTGTATCCAAATCCGACTTTAAACTTCTCCACAACAGTATCTCGGACCTGCCTTGTGTGTTCCTTGGTCTTCATGATGCTCTCTGTGCTTTGAACAGAACCCTGAGACTATCACAGAGCAGGTGCATTTATACAGAGACTTGATTACACACAGGTGGATTTTATTTATCATCATCAGTCATTTGGGACAACATTGGATCATTCATAGATCCTCACTGAACTTCTGGAGTGAGTTTGCTGCTCTGAAAGTAAAGGGGCCTAATAATATTGCATGCCCCACTTTGCAGTCTTTTATTTGTTAAAAAGTTTGACACATCCAATAAATTTTATTCCACTTCACGATTGTGTCCCACTTGTTGTTGATTCTTCACAAAAAATTAAAATTTTATATCTTTATGCTTGAAGCCTGAAATGTGGCAAAAGTTGAAAAGTCCAAGGGGGTCGAATACTTTCGCAAGGCACTGTGTATGTGTATATATATATATATATATATATATATATATATATATATATATATATGTATATGAACAAAACAAAAACAGCTACATTATAAAGTGATATAAATAACTAAAAACAAGAACATGTCTGTTGGTTTGTGCCATGAACTTAGCAGATGTTTAAAGCCATTTAACATTTTATTTTATTTTATTTTATTAATTTATTCATTCATTTAAAAGAAACCAAACAAATTCATCAAAAAGAAAACATTGAATGAAAGAGTGCAGAAAGAAGAAAAGTCTTACATCTACCCCTTATTTAAAATATATAAAATAACTTTAAACAATCACTTAAATTAATCACTTTAATATCCACTTTAAAGCTAGGAATAAAAAAACATGTTTTGTTTTAGTAGAATTTAATTCTAACTTTAAAACTTATCCAACATTAATAAAACTTGCTTTTTTGGCCATGCATGCATATATTTGTACAAACTGTACTTGAGAGGAGATTATTACAGCCTCATATAAAATCAATGATGATGATGATATCGGAACTCGATCAGTATCGGACGATATTTAGATTTAGGTATCGGGATCGGATCGGAGGTAAAAAAAAAAAGTGGATCGGTGCATCCCTATGTGGGACACAATCTTATTGACCTTAAAGCAGACATGGAGCCCAGCCAAAGACTTAAAGTCCTCCATCACTGAGCTTGGGTTAATTACAGAGACAATCATAAAACTGATGACAAACAAATACTACAATGCTGTTTCCTCCATACACTTGACATCACACCTGATATTCTCGTCACTGTTTTCAATCCTTCTGAGGATCCGGCATCTCTACTTCAGTGTTTGATTGTAGTCCAGACACAAAGTAGGATGCATGTTTTCCTCTGTCTGTCATTTGTCAACAAAGCAAAATGAACTCGCATAGAGTTTTGGGCGATCTCTTCAAGTTCACATTTTTCAGACACATTCTTCTTAATTCATCATCTGTTGGTATAGGAGATGAAACTATACCTCTTTTCACAAGTTGTTTTGGGTCCGTGTTCAAAACTCTGTTGCTGTAGTCACTGATTTAGTTTGGTCTGGTTGTTCTGCAGCCGTGAACACAACAGGTTCCTGAACTCACCACGGCTATTTTAGTAAACTTTATGGTTGTTAAATAATGTGAACAAAACAAAAACCGTGTTTTATCTGCTAAACTGAATGTAAATTACTTTCAAATAAACTGTGGTCTGTACCTGTAACTGTATTGTTGGTCTGTAGCTCTGCTACCATGGTTAACCAATGCTTACTCCTACTTACTGTGTCTGACAGGAAGTTGTACCCATAATCATTTACTGTAATTGCCGGTCTGTAGAATGCACTGGACTGTAAGCCGTGCTTACTAGTTTTAGAATAAAACACAATTTTATTCATAAATAAGATGCACTGGTATTTAACCAGTATTTATTCCAGATGTCCACAATTCAATATCAGAATCTGTACACAACTCATGGTAGTCTGTGCAGCTCTTGTTGTAGTACAAAAATCAACCACCAGATTGTGTTTCATAGACTTTGGCATGCTTTCAACATACATACAGATTGTGTGATCATCACAGGTCTTCATGAAGCTTCGCTCTGTGACTCATGGTTAAAACCATTCAATGTACAGAATGAACACAAGAACTATCTAAGCATAATCACTGGACAGAATAGTGCCAAACACCTACATACCCAAAATTATTTAAAAATTACATACCAGTAATTTTTACCCACAGTCCTAATTGAAGTCATGTGACCAGGTGTCACATAGTACCAGTAAAATACAGTTAAAAAAAAATCATTAAATTACTAGCATTGATTTTGATTGTTAAACACTTTTGGTAACAGCTGCTGTTTTGAAATGTACTTTCTAAATAAATTTGATGTGGCTCCGCAAAGCACATATGACTCATGACTCACGTAACTCACGGGGGAGAGGGAGGACCCCTCCCCGCTCCCTCGTTGAACTTGCAATATGATTTCAAAAAGGGTTTTTAGGCTCAATCATCCATTATATTTACTGTACATGCATATAAAGACTTTTTAAAAACTTTTGTTTAAATATGTACCAATCTTGACGGCTTTAAAAAGAATTGACGTGACTTCTGCTCCACTGAGCCCACATGACTCATGGGGAGGGAGAATAGCCCCTCCCATTTTCTCCGCCCTGTTTCATGTGTTCAGATGCGAGCTTAAAATGAGATACTGTACCGGTATTTAAACATATATTTACCGTACACAGAAAGTCACACAAAGAATTTAAAAACTTTTTAGCATCTCTTTTGCTTGTTTTAACCTTAACAACTCACTTTTAGCTGTTCATGACATTTAAGCTGTCTTTTAACAGTCATTATTTACACTATGCTATTGCAGAAAAAGCTATCTCTAATTTATTTGTATATTTTTCAATTTCTCTCATTCCTGCAGCCCCAAGAGTTCACCAGCTGGAGGGGAACATGTGTGAGGTCATATGGGAGACAATTCCACCAATGAAAGGAGATTCTGTGAGCTATGTTGTCCAGTTGCTGGTTGGACGGGAATCTGAATATAAACAGGTTTGTCTCTCAGGGTAGTTCAGAGAGCCGCAGTGATTTAGTTTTATTTTTGGGGGAAGTTCATACAGCCTGTATAATACGTTTCTGTACAATGCCCTGAGATGACATCTGTTGTGACTTGGTGCTATATAAATAAATTGAAACTGAACTGTAGAAAGGTATTTCATATTTTCTTTAAGGAAAATTATGTAGTTTTGCTCAAATGAAAATGTAAACTTTCCAGTTGGGCCACCACCTGCAGGTAGAGTTGTGATTTCTGACCCGAACCCGTGCCCGACCCGATCCAAACCCAAAATTCGGGCCAGGTTTGGCCAAAATTATGTGTTTGATGGGCAGGCTGGGTCGGTCTCGGGCTTTTGATGCGGTTTTACAAATCATGCAGCACAAAAAAAACTAAATAAGAATGCACAATATAAAATTGTGTTAATCTACTTGTGAAGGAGGAGGCAGTAAGTTTATATGATGAGGATGAGGAAAGCAATAAAATAAAGTGTAAATGTTCATCAGACTGTGAAAGGAGAGTAGTGTTGGCGCAGTGCGCAACAATTGCACATGCACATTGCCCCGCCCGCCCTGCTTTGCTCTTATCACACATCTTAGGATTTGCAATTGACCCACAGCAAGCAACATAATGGAGCTGGAAAGTATTAAACAAAAGCTAAAAAAAAAAAGTCCAGTTAAGCTTCAGATGGACATCCGAATCATCAGCAGCATGCGTCTGCTGACTAGGAGTGGGCGATATGGCTCAAACATAATATTATGATATTTCAGAACATTCTAATGATAATGATAAATTTTGTGATTTAACAAAAAAACAAAAACAAACAGAAATCATAGTTATTCATTTGAAAAAAATAACTTAACATGTTACTTTGCACTATTATGTAAAAACTATAAAACAACAAGGGTTAATTTTACTGCAATTACTTTATTTAGTAAAGTATTCAGTCTCAAAGTATAAAAATAAATAATAAAAATGGTCCTTCTGTTATTTAGATTGAGAAAGTCTGCACAAGATATTGAACAACAAAATCCACTACAAAATCTAAAGTGCAAGTGCACTTCTCCAAAAAACTAAACAGATCTTAAGCTTTAATTCTATTGAGCATACATTTAGCCTACAACAAAAAATATGTTGCCTTTAAATGAGGTATAAATTCCAAAACTTGTGACAAATTCTGAAAACAAATGAAATGCTGCCTGAAAGGACTGCTGATTAGAACATACTATACCAATTTATTTATAGAGCACTTAAAACAGCAACAAGGCCAACCTAAGTGCTGTACAATAGAAACAAACAAGCACAGCGGACAGGAAAACATAAAATAAAAATATAGATACAAATAGCAGTAGATAATAACTAAATGGCCAACACTGTAGAATACAGACAAACATAGCCATCAGCCAATTTCCAACAAAGCCAATTTCCTGATCCTCAGAAAAGTAGCTGGTCTCGAAGTTTGAGCTGCACAGTTCCCAATTGCTGTTGGTGCAGGGAAGGCTCCACGGTCCGACTTGACCATAAATCGGTGGTCAATGCATAGTCAGTGTTTCCCCTACCATTATACAAGCAGGAAGACTCGCCACATCAACAGAACCGAGCGCACAGTCTACCGAACTGAACTGCGCAATCTGGTGTGGGTCTACTACTAGCCCCCTGACTTGGTGCCTGTGTGTTGTAGTTTTCCCCATTGGATGAGAGGGTGGCTTCTCTGTGCCTTCAGGTGGGGGGGATGGGCTCTGACTTTTGTTTGTGCCAAACATTCCAAACAACACTTTAGAGTATCCAGCCTTCTTTGAGTCCTTGGCAGGAGTGCTGGAAGGTGTGCCAGCTGGGGATCCCTTTATTCTGCTGGAGGACCAATGCCCACGTGGGTAATGGCCATGTGACCTGGAGGGGCATGACTGGGAGGAACAGCCTCTCTGATCTGAACCCAAGAGGTGTTTTTTTGTTGGACTTTTGTGACAGTCATAGTTTGTCCATCACAAACACAGTGCAGAGTTGCAGTGGGGCCTAAAAAATCCGAACTGACCCTGCCCCAACCCGACCTGATCATTTAACTGTAATTACAGGCTCAAACCTGAAAAAAAAAAAAAGCTTTTACTGCTTTTGTAAGCAAATCAGTTTGACATTATATTTTAAAAACATATTTCAAAGAAAGGAAGATATAAGATTTCTTGTTTATTAACAAGTCACCAAATGGATATTAACATACAAAATGAATAGCCTAAAAAATCATCTCTAAAGATAGGCTATTATACAGACAAGCAAAATTATTTTTAGAGCAAAATTATTTAGAAAAATATAGAACAACTCTATTTGAATTGAACATGCTGCTCGCTTTGGCTTGATGTTACAAATTCATTCACCGCAGATTACAGCATTGTGCGGAGACGTGCGCAGCCGGGGATCAGGTGATTCATCTGAAGCTTAACTGAACATTTTTTACCGCTTTCAACCGGATGGTCAGTGGACGCGCGCAGCTGATGATGGGCCTAGGCCCGGGTTAGAAATCGCAGCTCTAACACCATGTTCGAACATAAGGGTGTCCGTAAGTGTGCTTGGCACCAGGACACCCTAGGCCGTAGATCGATGATTGACTTTGGAGTCGTGTTCTCTGATTTGCAACTGTTTTTTTGGACACTCTGGTGAAAAAAGGAGCTAAGCTGTCATCTGATCACCACCTGGTAATGAGTTGGATCAGATGGTGGGGTCAGATGCCGGACAGACCTGATAGACACAAACGTGTAGTGAGAATTTGCTGGGAAAGCCTGGCAGAAGAACCCGTCAGAAAGATCTTCAACTCACACCTGTGGGAGAGCTTTAACCACATCCTAGCTGAGACAGTGGACATTGAGTCACAGTGGGCCATGTTCCACACCTCACTTGTTGAAGTGGCTGCCTTGAGCTGTGACCACAAGGTTGTCTGTGCTTTTTGCGGTGGCCATCCACAAACTCGGTGGTGGACACCCTGGGTTAAGGAGGCTGTCAAGCTGAAGGAGTCCTATTGGTCTTTGTTGGCTGATGGGGCTCTGGAGGCAGCTGAGGAATACCAGAAGGCCAAGCGGTCCGCAGCCTTGGCTGTTGCTTAGGCAAAAGCTCGGATGTGGGAGGAGTTTGGTGAGGCCTTCAATACAGACTCTTGGTTGGTTCCGAGGAGAACCATCAGGTGGCTTAGGAAGGGAAAGTAGCACTTTAGTAACACTGTGTTCAGTGAATATGGGATGCTGTTGACCTCCCAGTTATTTTGTCGGGAGTTGGAAGGAATACTTCTGACCTTTTCAATCCCACTGGCATGTCTTCCATGGAAGAAACTGAGTCAGGAGACTTCTGGGTTCATCTGTCCATAACTGTGGCTGAGGTTGCTGAGATAGTTAAGCTCTGCGGTGGCAGGGCTCTGGGAATGGATGAGATTTGACCTGATTTCCTAAAGGCTCTGGATGTTGTGGGCCTGACTTGGTTGACATGCCTTTACAACATCCTGTGGACGTCGGGGACAGGGCCACTGGATTGGCAGACTGGGGTGGTGTTTCCCCTCATCAAAAAAACAGACCTGAGGGTGTGCTGCAATCATTTGGACATTATAGGGTCATTGGTCGAACCTCAGATCCAGGTGGAACAATGCAGATTCTGTCCTGGCTGTGGAACACTGGACAAGCTCTTTACCCTCACTAGGGTCCTTGAGGGGTGATGAGAGTTTGCCCATTTAGTCTACATGTGTTTTGTGAACTTGGAGAAGGCTTTTCATTGTGTTCCTTGGGGTACACAGTGTGGGGGGGGGGGGGGGGGGGGGTGTTGCTCCGTAAGTATGGGATTGGGAGCCTGTTTCTATGGGCTGTTGGGTCCCCTATACAAGCGGTGTGAGAGTTTGGTTCACATTGCTGGTAGTAAGTCGGACCCCTTCGGGGTGGGAGTTGGACCCCACCAGAGCTGACCGTTGTCACCAATTCTGTTAATAACTTTTATGGACAGAATTTTTTTGGTGCAGCCAGGGGGTGGAGGGAATCCAGTTTGGTAGCCTCAGGGTTCTTTCTCTGCTATTTTGTGGATGATGTGGTCCTGTTGACCGTGATTTTCAGCTCACTGGAGTGGTTTGCAGCCAAGTGTGAAGCGGCTGGAATGAGAATCAGCACCTCCAAATATGAGGCCATGGTCCTCAGTCGGAAAAGGGTGGATTGCTCTCTTCGGATCGAGGGTGAGGTTCTGCCTCAAGTGGAGGAGTTCAAGTATCTCAGGTTTTTGTTCACGAGTGAGGGAAGAATGGATGGTGAGATTGTGAGATTGACAGACGGATTGGTACAGCATCTGCAGTATTACGGACTCTGTGCCTGTCCTTTGAGATGAAGAGAAAGCTGAGCTGTAAGGCAAAGCTCTCTGTTTACCACTTGGGCTACATTCCTACCCTCAACTATGGCCACAAACTCTGGGTAGTGACTGAAAGAATGAGATTGTGAATATATGCGGTTGAAATGAGTTTCTTTCGCAGGGTAGCTGGAGTCTTCCTTAATAACAATAATAATAAACTTTATTTCTATAGCACCTTCCAACAACGCCTTGCATTGACCAAGGTGCTTTACAATATAAAACAAGATTAAAAACAGGACACAATAAATCAGTGCAAATTAAAAACACAACCAGAATAAAAGAAGGTAAAAGAGATAAAATAAATAAATAAATACTAAATACTAAAATGCTAATAGTTAAACATTAAAAGCCCTTTTAAATAAGTATGTTTTCAGTTTGGCTTTGAACAGAACCAGATCAGAAATGGCACGCAGCTCATAGGGAAGAGTATTCCAGGCTGTTGGGCCTGCAACAGAAAAGGACCGGTCCCCCCAATGTTTGCGCCTTGAGCGTGGCACCTCCAGCAGATATTGACCAGCAGACTGTAAAGCTCTGCTGGGCTGGTGGACTTTCAAAAGTTCTGAAATATAAGGTGGTGCAAGGCCATTCAAATCTTTAAAAACAAACAGTAGCAGCTTGAACCGTATTCTAAACTGAACCGGGAGCCAGTGCAAAGAAGAAAGGACAGGAGTGATATGTTCATATTTGCGTGTGTTAGTCAACAAGCGAGCAGCAGAGTTTTGTACAAGCTGTAAACGGGAGATAGAAGATTGATTAATACCGACATATAAGGCGTTACAGTAATCAAGCCTAGAGCTCACAAAAGCATGGATGGCCTTCTCCAGATCACTACGGCTAAGGAGTGACTTTACTTTAGAAAGCAGACGGAGCTGAAAGAAGCTAGTTTTCACAACAGAACTGATCTGTTTATCTAATTTTAAGTTACATTCAAGCTCCACTCCTAGATGTTTTACCACCTGGTTGGCGTGGGGGAGCGGAAAGCCTAGACTGGTAGAGATGTTGCATGAATTGCTGGAAGCATCAAATAAAATCCATTCAGTTTTATCATTATTTAGTTGGAGAAAATTCTGAGACAGCCAGTGCTTAATGTCGTTTAAGCAGCTGGCAATAGAGTTTAAACTGAGTGAGGAACTGGGAGAGACCGGCAGATAGATTTGTAGATCATCTGCATACAGATGAAAAGACAGATTATGGCGTCCAATGATGGGTCCTAACGGCAGCATGTAAAGTGAGAAGAGAACATGCCCCAGAATGGATCCTTGCGGTACGCCAGAGGTCAAAGAGACTGAAGAAGAGGACAGATCACCAATCATAACAGAGAAAGTTCTGTCTGTTAAATAGGACTTAAACCACTCGAGCACAACTCCCTGAAGGCCAACCTGCTGAGCCAAACGAGTGATTAGGACCTGATGGTCTACAGTATCAAAAGCTGCTGAGAGGCCCAACATCACCAGCAGAACAGGGTTTTTTTTTTTCATCATCAAGGGACAAAAGAATATCATTCTGTACTTTGAGAAGGGCAGATTCAGTGCTATGACGGGGTCTGAAGCCAGATTGAAATTTTTCAAACAAGTTGTGTTCTAAAAAAGATTGCAACTGAATGAAAACTACCTTTTCCAGAACTTTGGATAAAAATGATAAGGCAAAATTGGCTTAAAGTTAGAAAAAGCTGTAGGATCTAAACCCGTTTTTTTTTTTTAAGAAGAGGCCTGACCACTGAATGTTTGAAAGCAGACAGGACATAACCTGAACTTAGACAGCTATTAATAAATGTCAGAAGACAAGGACAAATAACATCCAAGGACTGCTTGAACATCTTAGAGGGACTGATGTCCAGGGTACAGTTTGTAGGTTTCATCTGCTGAACCACCTTAACGAGGTGAGGTAGTGAGACCAGGTCAAACTGATTAAACACAGCAGAGGTTATTGAGGGAGCACATAACTGAACAGCATTATATGTACTGACAATGTTCTGCTTGATAGTCTATTTTGTTCACAAAGTAATCAAGAAAACCATCAAAGGTAGACTGTGTAGCAGTTTTCAGAACATTGATGGAGGAATTAATGACAGACTGAATGGTCTTAAATAAAACCCTTGGCCGGTTACAACTGGTAGAAATTAAATTGGAAAGATTGCGATTTGGCCTGCTGAACAGCTTTTTGATATTCATAAAGAGAGTCTCTCAGTATGCCCTGTGACACATGGAGCCTGTCTTTCTTCCATCTGCGTTCTGCTTTCCTGCAGCGTTGTCTAAAAGTCTGAGTGGTACCATTAAGCCAAGGATCTGGTTTGATTTTTGTAGAAGTCGATCTTAATGGAGCGATGGAGTCCAAGATCTTTGTAGAAGTGTACTGAAAGGAGGTGATAAATTCTTCTGGATGTAGAGATGAGTCCAGACTTTCAGCAGAGTATAAGTCAGTGCTTCTAAACGCAGCAGCAATCTGACCTGGAGTGGAGGGAGTGATGAAGCGGCAGAGACGTGCTGGAAGCATAGTTTTTACCGGGGGAGGAGTGGAAAATTCAAATATAATAGGAAAGTGGTCTGAAATACAAGTGTCCAAAATTTCTATAACAGATACACGAAGGCCATAAGAGATGATTAAGTCCAAAGTATGACCATGACTGTGTGTGGACCCTGACACAGATTGTGACAGGTTAAAAGAATCCAAAGTCAGCAGCGAGTTGGTTACAGGGACAGCAAACATGAATGTTAAAATCACCACATAAAAGCAAACTGTCAAATTTTGGCAACAGTTCAGCTAACAGTTCTGAGAACTCATTAATGAAATCCTTATTATATTTTGGTGGGCGATATAAAACACCACTTAGCAGGGGGTGTGCAGATTCCATCACAAACAGAGATAGGAAGAGAAGTTCAGTTATCCCGGAGAGACTTGGAGTAGAGCTGCTGCTCCTTCACATCGAGAGGAGCCAGTTTAGGTGGTTCGGACATCAGGTAACAATGCTCCCTGGGCGCCTCCCTAGGGAGGTGCTTCAGGCATGTCCGACTGGGAGGAGACCCCGGGGAAGACCCAGGACACGCTGAAGAGACTGTGTCTTTTGGTTGCCCTGGAAACGCCTTGGAGTACCCCCTAGAAGAGCTGGAAGAGGTGGCTGTGGAAAGAGATGTCTGGGCGTCCCTGCTCAAGCTGCTGCCCCGACTTCAGAACAAGCAGAAGATAGTGGATGGATGGATGGGAACGTAAACTTTCAGTCACATGATTCCTCATGAATTGGAAAAACAAAAATGTGTCTTGACATAAACTTGTGCAAAGTTTAAAGTAGATTCCTACAAAACCACTTCTGTTTCTCATGATTCTATTTCATGGCTTCCACCACTAAATGACTAAAAAATATATATAACTCAAGTCAGTTTTGCAGATACTGAGCTAAAATGCGATGTGACTTGGAGTTGGAGTGGTTGAGCAGAGAAAAATGATTATCATCATTCATTCATTCATTTTTCAGGTCTCTCTTGTAAATGAGTCCGCGTAGCTCAATGGGACTAACCTGTTTATATAAAGGTTGAATGAATTCATGCTGACATATATTTTTTTCTGTGATTGACAGGTTTTTAAAGGAGAGGAAGGCTCCTGCCAAATCTCGAATCTCCAGGGAAACGTAGAGTATCGTTTCCGTGTTGGCGCTTGCCGCCAGTGCCGGGACACGTGCCAGGAACTGTGTGGACCACTGAGCCCCTCCTCGTTGTTCACGCTCCATCGCCAGGAGTCGCCATTGTATGGGGAGCAGTGTGCTTTGGAAACGGGCAAGGGGGCGGGCCTGATCTCTAGCGACGAACGCTTTGCGGCGCTAATCGTGTGCGTGTTTGCAGGTCTTTCCATCCTAATGGCCTGCTTGCTACAGTACTTCTTCATGAAATGAGGGAATTTCAAAATAGGATAGAAAGGAAAGCAAAATCCCAAGACAAGAACTTTTTAAAAGAAGTCCATGAAATAACCGAATGAAATCAAATCAAACACTTGAGATGTACTTTTAAAGGCTTTGTATGTTTTTTTTTTTCATTGATTCAGGCTTTCTTTGTCCTCTACCTGTTTGCTTTTTTTCCCCACACCTTTGTTGTCTATATCATTGTCTCATTTGTTGAGGAAACAAAAACTGATAAACAAGCCTTAAAATAAGTGAGCTAATCACTTACTCCCTAGACTGACCTACTTGTTTTTATTTTGTATGTCTTTAAAACATATTCAGTAGAAAGCATATATATTTCTTGACAGTCATTGCCCTAATTTTATTTTATTTTTTCAGTGTTTAACCGGCTTTTTCTTTTTCAGTACACATTCAACTATAGTCAAATGTAGGTCTTTAAAGCTGTAGCATTTCTTACATATAGAATCCATCACTACAGGCTGTTGGTCAACTCATGCAGTCCTCGCCTGTCCTCTCACACAGGCTCACAGAGACCTAGTGTATGGACTGACCTCTGTACATAATTATGCACATAAACTTAGTTTTGTTTTTGCAATGACAATGAGGAAAACAAACTTCCTTCAAAAGAAGTCATACCTGCTCAGCTTTCAATCACTCACACACACCCAGCTACTCAAAGATTTCATTAATGAGCATATAGTTCAAGCCTTTATTTTACACTTCAGACTTTACCTTGACGTCACTTATGTTATATATATATATATATATATATATATATATATATACACATGTATAT